ACAGGGCTGTAGCTCCACTTTTCTGGAATTCACTTGGCTCTTACATCCTTCATGCATTTTTGTCATTAGACCACCTCTCCTGCATCATCACAGGACATCTGCAGACCTTCTATATGTCATATTCAGGTATGATAATATCTCAAAGCAGTAACAGGACTTTTGTTCTTCATTCATATTTTCAGAAGTGAGGAAACCATTTCCAAAAGCTCTCTAGAAGTGTTCACTTCACATGTTATTGGCCGAAATTGTGTGCCATGTCCATCCCCAAACCAATCACTAAAAGGGAACTGGAATTAAGTGACTGGTTTGAGCCAATCAAAATTTGCTGAGATGTACTTTAACCACTTAAAGCACGTGGTTATGTGAAAAATGATGGATTCTGTCTCACTGTGAGGGGTTCAGAGACCAGAGACAGCATCTCATTGACAGCAGGATGAAGATGGTGATGGAGTAGCCAGGAGAACACAGGCTGGTGCCTGCTGCTGCTGTTCTTCACCACCAATATTGGCAGAATGGACTGGACAAGCTCTCCTGAGACCCAGCAAGCTGGGTCTACACTTGAGTGGGTACAACCTTGAAAGAAGTGACTTGTTCAAAGAAGTCTACCCAGAAGCTAGAAAGAAGGTTTGTAATTGTTTTTCACAGATCTTAAATGACCTGGCCATCAAGTAAAATGATGTCTGACAGAAAGAGGACTGATGATTCATGACCCTGGTCACAGAAGCTCCAGATAGGAGGTTATTTGCATAGCAAAAACTCCTCCAAATCAGAGACCACTCCTTCAGGACACATTAAACCATATTTAATCTTGTTTACTATTTCTTGAATTTATTTTTATCATTCATTATTATTAATCATAATAATGATTATTGCCATTAAGGCTTTAAACTCTAAACAAATTGCAATCCATCTATTTAGGAGTTAGGTTTGGTTGCACTATGGTATGAATTTTAATAGAACATCCATATATTTCAAGCATCTCTGTAAAATTTGAAGAAAAATGCTCTTAGCATTTTCTGCAAAACTTTATTCTTAAATCTATGTGTGCAATAAAAATATGGTTGGTCCTTAAATAAAATCAAGATTCTTTAAGGGGGTAGGAAAGGTATATATATGTGTGGTAGTTGGTAAGGTAACCATCAGAGTTAGATAGAAGGTTGATTTGGTGCTTTTTCAAATATAATTGGTCATTACTTATAGCTTTCTATTGCCTTCAAATACTCTAAGCTGGTCTTTTATTTTTCTTCAAGAAAAGTAAGAATAGTGATCAATAATTGCAACATCTGAAGGATGTTTTTTCTTAAGGAATGACTTGTTTCTTCTCTTATGTCTACTGACTCTCCTTCATGGTGCCATCCTTCCTTGTGTGTTCCATCATTTTCTAACTTTCATTAAAAATTTGAGGGAACTTTTTTGAAGTCTAGGATAAATGAGAGCTCCTATGGAAAAGATTTTCATTTCCTTCTGCTAAGGCCCTGGGAGATTATCAGCCTAATATTAAATTGAATTCATAGTTTAATGAAAACCTGAGGCTGCAAACCCAGCCCACAAAGGGGGACTTAAATTTTTTTAAGTATGGCATCCTAAAGCACAGGGTAGCTTCAGGCACACGGCTCTTGCTTGCTCAGGACTACAGATATTACTGGTTAGAATGAGCATTTTTGTGTATATTAAATTATTAAGGTAGGGTTAGTGTTTAGGTGGTAACCTTGAATCAGGAGTTAAAATTGTCAGGAAAGGTGCAGAGTGACTTGAGGTCTGAGCATGATAGCAACATTTAAGTAGTGAGTGGGTGAAATAACCTGATGAGGTGAGATTCAAAGCTGCAGGTTTTAGGGAGAAGGGGTGAAGAATGCACTAGAAGTAGCAGTGAGGAACAAGAAGGACACCACCTTCCTACATCCTGATATAGTGATACAAGATCTGGAGAAGAAAAAAAATAGCTGTCACCTGACAGGAGTTTTGGGGAGCAGCCTCTAGGGAGAGAACCAGATTTCCATTAGAGTAGGAAGTGAAGGAAACATCCAGAGAAGAGGCTGAGGACATAGGGCATTTTTAAGTAGTGGACTCTGCATTCCAGGCCTAGTCAAAGGGTTTCAAGAGTTGAATCAGGAGAAAGGGACAGAATGTAAGATGTGCTGAGCCTTAAGAGCATTAAAATGTAGGAGATGCGAAAAGCACTTGAGATTCTGGGGCTGCTTCTGGTAACTGATATGAACAAGCATTAAAGGCTTAGTGAGATTAACATTGGTAGACTGAAGACAAAGTGTTGGGGAAGCTGTGATTCTTTAGGGTAAGAAGTGTAGGAGTCTGTACCTGGCTATTGGCCCCTAATGACAGAGTTGAGGAGAACTGGAGACGTGTGGTCTTGGCTGGAGGGTATGAGGCTCTCTCTAGATCCCTGTTCTGGAAGCCAGGTGTTACTCTGAGTTTGCAGGAACATCTCATAGGACTAGCGCCCCAATGGTGCAGACTTTGGAGAACCTCTCTCTGGCTACTAAAAGGGGAAGGAGGACTAACATTATTCTCTGCCCATTGTGTGTTAGGCACAGTGCTTCTTGTGTATATAACCAGATTTAATCTCCACAACACCTGTACTTCATCAAGAACAGCTTACAGAGATCTCTGATGCTCCTTAGGTGAGTTTAATGGCTTACTTTCTAGCATCATGAGCAGACACAGCACTGAGGAATAAAATTCCTCATTTGTAGGAGGGTAGTGACTTTAAAGCACTGGGATTTCATGGGTACAGGGCAAATGTCCCTTTTACCTGTCATCAGCTCCTACAAGACAAGTGTCTTTAGGAGAGAAAACATGTCCTTTTATTGTAGGTGTGAAAAAGACTATTCTGAGTGCTGGATACAGTAGGCCTGAGGCCAACAGGTGCACCAGGTGGGACTCTAGAGGGCAAGCTGAAGAGCCTGTGCATACCATCATCATGAGAAAATGTTTGCTGTGCTCCAAAGACACAACATTAAAACATCCTCTTCCAACACAACCTGGTCTTAAGTTGGGCCATTCACACAAACACAAACAGGAATTTTCCTGTAGGAGCTGTCATCTTCAAATGCATCAAGACATGAAAACCCAGCAGCTAGGAAAAATGTATACACTTGTTTAAGTTTCTTCCATGGATGGCACAGGGGAATGATTTAAGGAAGAGGTGGCATACCACAGAGCACACTGATAATTTTAAAGGTTTGTTTCATGGTTTTCTGACCTTCTATCATTGGAGAGATAATCCATTATTCTATGACATTTGTGGAGAGGTTCTCAAGAGGGTATCCATTTGGGAACTCAATGAATTACTAGCACATTTTGCAGTTGAGAGCTCAAAAGTTTATATATAATATATATGGACAATCTGGATAAAATTTATGACTTTTTTAAATTTCACACTTTTACTTCCAATGTTGGATTCAAAGACTCTCCCATGGGAGTATATTTTTCCTCCTCTTATAACAACATAATGGTTTTAGCCTAAATAGCTATTTAAATAATTCACGTATGCAGAAGCATCCATGAAATGCAAATTAGCATGTTCCCTAATTTTCATGTTACCTGACCACCTTACAGAGCTGCATATGGTTGCAATCTACAAAGCCTTTTGCAAACTGCAAAACCCAAAACAAGACCCAAAAGGGCTTTCAAAGACCAATGTAGTAAGGGGAGGCCCAATGGGACACTGAGAGTCATAACTTACAGTTTGAGAGTGCTGGAAATGGAAAGAAGGGGAAGTTATGGGCCACGGGTTGTCTCTATTTTCTTCTCTCCACAGTGTTATGCATAATATTGCCAACCAAAAATCTCAGGTTACAGCACCGCTCAGCGTGTACTGCCTCATCCCCACAGAGTTTTTCTGGGCAGAATGCTCCTGGGGGTGCCTGATATCGCCCCTTCCGGGCACATGTATGTGTAAATTTATATTTACATCCACACGCCCATTCATTCAGGCATATTTACACGAATAGAACACGTTGGTGGATAGGCTGCGTGTGCGTGCGTGTGTGTGTTTCATCCACTGCAGCCGCACAGGCATTGCGCTTTGTCTCCGGCGCTTCAGGTCACCCATCACTAAAGCACAGCTGCCTGAGGCGCAGCTTCCCACCCGGCGCTGGTTCCCTGTGAGCGCGGAGATGGCAGGATCAGGGACTTGTGGAAGCCCAGCATCTAGGTGGCAGCGCGGGTGATGGGGGCTGACGGGTGTGTAAGGGGAAGAGACAGCGTCCGGAGAATCGCGGAAGGCGACACCCTCCTATGCAGAGGCAGGATGGCCTCCTATGCCAGCCTAGGGTGTGGCCTCTTCAGGGCAGGTTTCTCCCCAGCTGCCCAGCCCCATCGCTTTGAAATGGGGACGTTCTTGTTGGGCTCTCCAGCATGCCAAGGGGCGAAACCTTAATACAAGCACAATTTCCGTGGGTTTTTAAAAAAGTATTCGGTAGTTTCCTCCAAAAGGGTCACTTCCAACGTCTGCCTGTGAGGTCCGGCTGTCTGGCCCCACCTGGCATGGGGGAGATCCCAGACACCCGGCAAAGTTTCCTGCCGTCTGCTCCTGCGCACCGTAAGCTTGCCTTTGACTTGTATACCAGGGTGGGAGGTGGGGGGAACTGGTCGACCTAGTCCTGCCTAGTGACTCCCTGGAAACCCAAAGTTAACATGTCAGGCCCAGGAACAGGGGGCGATCCCTCTTTACCTTGGCACCAGCCGAGTCCAGTTCTCAGAATGCCTTGCCCGGGAGGGCCAGACTCCGAGCGTCGCCCCCAGGCGCGCAACGACTAGTCACACTCAGTGACTAATTAAAACTAATTAAAGATTTGTGCCCCTTCCCTTGCTATGGACTCGGAGCCCTGACTTCTCCAAAAGTACCTGCTTGTTTGCGGTGGCCCTACCCACTCATCCCGCGCCGCAGCCCGTCCTCCGCGCCCCGACTTCCCTGAGCGCGTCAGCCCGCCCCCGCCCCGAGTCGCCAGCGCGCGGTGACTCCTTCCCTGCGCACCGCTGGTACACTTGCCACGCCGCCGCCCAGCACTGCAGCACTCGGGGGGAGGAGGCGGAGGCGGAGGCGGATGAGGACCGCAGCGTGCAAGCCCGAAGCCACTTTCCCGCCCCTCCTCTCGCCGCTGACAACGCTTGTAGGAGTCACCACTCTTCGCGCTGCGGGAGAGAGTGGCAGACGGAGGCGGTCCCTGGGAGCGAGCCGGAGCGACGCCCGCACGGCAGCGGATGCAGCGCTGACACTAACCAGGGCAAGGGTACCTGGTGGCTGGAGGGTGAGTAGGGTCCCCGACAGGGGTGGCTGGATTTCCCGCCTCAGTTTAATTTCCCTTCCGGATCCGGAGGCCTGGCGCTGCAGCCTGGGGAACTTTTTGCAGCCTTGTAGAAGCGCAACTTTGCCCCACCTGACCCCAGGTAGCTGTGGCAGGTGGCAGGTGCTGCCCGTCCCGGCGCTTTTGCTGGGGCGGGACCGGGGAAGTCAGGGTAAAACAGATGGAGTGACGCCCTGTTGCCGGGAGTATGTCTGGCTATGCGGGCTCACTTTATCCCGGATTGCCGGGGCAGATGGGTGGGCAGCACCGCGGGGATTCAGGGGCCGCGCCCGTTTTCTACCGGGACCTCCGCAGATCTTTTGCTCGTGTGTGTAGACGGGCGAGGTGAAGCTGATTCAAAACAAGCAGCTCCGAGCCCCGTACTCCCACCCCAGGCTTCGGCTCAACTTTTCGGCGGGGATCCCTCTGCAGACGTGCAGGTGGCGGGAGAGAAGAGGCAGCAGCAATGGGCGCTGCGTGAGCCTCAAAGAAACACTGGGGATCTGAAAACTATTCTACGTAAATCCGCGAAGCCCCTATCTAGTGCCTACTCGAGAACAAGAGAGGGATGGAGAGCAGGCAAATCCGCGTGGCTGTGACTGTTTGTAAGCGCCGGCACTTGGCTACTCTACGCCTTCATTCAGCAAAAACCTATAGAGCGCCCACTGTGCGCCAGGCACGGCCGAGTAGAACCATAGACTTGAGGCCCAGGGAGGAGAGGGGCTATTACCGTAAATAAATTACTGAGGTGATATCGGGTGAACAGGGCGGTGGAGCCCATCGTCCAACCCATTAGATCCTTCGCAATTGGCGGCCTCTTTCCCCTCCGCCTGGGTTCTAGAACTGGGAAGACCTCTCCAGAACGCTGTGGGGGCCGCCTAGGGCTGTGCCGACGAAGACTGCGGAATATGGTGATGAACTTGGCATCGGGCAGCAGGCACCCCGCCGCAGATGCACAGCTCAGAGCATTCCTGCTGGCGTGGGGGACCTCGGGCGCGCGGGGGCGGGGGGGAGGGGCTGAGTCACGCGAGCTGGAGGAGCCGCCGGGACAGCCCGAGCGGGGGTCGCGCGCGTCACTGGCTACGTGGACGAGTGATGCAAATGCAGGGCCACGAGGGGCTGGCGGGGTGGGCTGTGGGGCGGGAGGGGGAAGGCGGCGGAGTCTCTGTCTGGGAGCGCGCGTGTGTGCGTCAAAGGGTCTCGGGTGATGGATGCCCTGCAGCGCACCAGCGCAGACAGCAGCCACCGGCTGGGCGGCGGGGCGGGCGGCCTGAGGTCGGGGCGGCTTGCGGCGCCGGGCGACCAGAAGAGCCCCGCAGGGCCGGGGCCGCGGGCCGGGCAGGCGGCTCCGCAGTGCGCCGCAGTGCCGGGAAGGTGCGGCAGCGGCTGGGCACTCCCCGGGGTCCTGAAGAGATGGGGCGACTTTTAAGGCGCCACGACAGGGGTGCCCTGCTGGTCTCTTCTCTCACTGGACCTCCTTCCTGTATATTTTGCTGACTGACAGCGGGAGAAAGTTGTTTCAGTTTGATTCTTATCCTTAATCCTGGAAGAGAATTTGGCATTGAAGTCTTTGGCGTTCACTCATTTTCATTGCCAAGTTCTGAAAGGCCACGTGCCGGTGGCAAGTTTTCCTGTGAAAGCTTCGCTTGAGGTTCACGGGACTCTAGTGCTAACTAAGCCTCACCATTCTTCAGCAGTTGTGCCAGCAGGCCTGACCTCTGGGCTTGAGACTGGCTTACAAAACAATGTGCCGCGCTTGTCTTTTATAACACAAGAATGTGTGTTAAAAACGGTTCTGTGAATGCATTCCCCGGCAGAAAATAAAAATCACAATCCACATTCCATTCTGTTTTATTTTAAAAGAGCTGGAACCGAAAGGGTAAAGGTTTTTCTCTGGCTTTCCCGAATGAGCCCAAATCTGCAGTATGTGTGGCAACAGGGAGGAAAGGAGGAAAAGCCAGAGCCCAGGGACAAAGGTACTAGTCCCTGCGTTCCCAGGTGTTCGGTTTTGTCCATCTTGGACGAGTGATTTACCCTCTTGGGCATATCCTCCACATCTGGAAAATGTGAAAAAAACAGCTCAGACTAGCTGTTATTACAAAGTTGTTTTGAAGACAAAGGAGATGCTCTCAGAGAGCTGGGACATACAAATTCTCTGAACGGAAAAGATAGGAAACAAAATCCCTTTAAGGGAAAAGAAAACAATTTCATCTTTTAAAAAATTCTGGAAGCTTCCCCCAGTGCTGTTCCTTTAATGTAATTTGGCCTTCGTTGTCAGCAAATACAGACAATAGAGTTGTCCTAACAGTCTAATATAAAATCAAATGCCATTAGCTGCTGACTTGACTGGAGAAGGGAAAAAAAAGGCTCTGGATTACATCTGAGTGTTTTTGGTGATGTGGTAGAGAAATCAAATTTATTTTTCATGACCCAGTGACAGTACAAGCAGCCTCTCTGGTCTGGAGCAGACTAGTCTAAGAGCTTTTAGGTAAAAATTCTGCCTGTTATTAACCCTAGCATTCCTTAAGTGTGGAAGGTGCCTCAGAGAAGAGGAAGCAGTTTCCACCCTCAAGGAGGTTATCAAATAGCATCATAATATACAATGTATCATGTGACAGCAAGTAGCAGAAAATCCATTTCCTATAATTAGGGAAATTATCTCTTCCTCTGTAGTAAACCTGCTGATGATATATTTCATAAAAAAATCTAATTTGTCAAAATGCCCTCTTAACAGGATCACAATGTTGTTATTCATGTTACTTAACCTAATAGTAGATTTCTGTGCACAATGAAAGTTAAAATATCCTTGTTATTTTGTGCTGCTGCATCAGAGAAAAACCTCCGATTCATGGTTCCATGTTGATGAGGTTTCTGTCTGACCCTTGGTTTACCATGTATATAATATCATTGCCTATTTACCACAAATGTATCATTTAGATTGAATCTGTTAACCTAGGAGGGGCAGCCCCCCAGCTGTGTGCAATTTTGATACCACACTGCCAAGTTGTTTTTGTTTTTGCTTTGCTTTCTCAATTCCAGCGCTAGGGAGCAGCCAGTGTAAAATGTTGCAGTAGATTGAATTTGAAGCTTCTTTCTCTGACACAGCTGAAGTAACAATGGGGGATGAAGTTACTATTTTAGTTCTTGCTGGAAATTTGTCTTAATGTGGTATAAAGACACCATTTAGTTTGATCACAAATACCTTTTGTAATTAGGGGCAATGGATAGTAGTTGAATATCATGATGGTGTCCCTGCTGGGAAGAATTGAACAAAATGAAAAAAATGGACAGGGGTGGATTGAGTGGTTTGGTCTTTTCTGGTTCTAATGTTCTTTCTCTCCATGAAATACAGAAATATATGATTTATACTTTTATGTTGATGTTTACTTAGAAGTAGAATATAAAAAGTGCTTTTGATTAACTCATGTTGAAATTTTACATGGAGTTGTGGGCTCTGTTTTTGTAGACTAATTGGTCTATTAGATTTTGTATTATGCCATAGGATACACATTAAAATATTTTTTAAAGACCAAATTTGAAAAATAATTATCTCAGCTTAATGTAAAGTAGATATTCAGATCAATTTAACATGATGATTTTTTAAATTTTGCTGTTGACCACCTAATGCACACTGTGCCTGCTGTATTTTTTCTCAGGGACAGCATTTAGTACAAATGATTAAGACTACATATCAAGAATTATATTGATGAGCTCTTGGGCCCTCTTACAATTCAGGAGCATAGTGAGATTTATGACAAATTAGACCAAGTGCTTTCTGTTGTAATTTACCCCTATTTGAAAATTCTATGAACTAGAATCCTGGTATACCCAAACAGACCAGTAGGTCTCAAATAATTGTGTATATCATACTCTCTTGGGAAGCTTGTTGAAAGGGAGAGTTCTGAGCCCCATCCTAGATGTCCTAACTGAGTAATTCCATGGGTGGGCCATGAATATGCTGTTTATCAAACTCTGCCAAGTGGATGTCACCGTTAGGGGACCATACTTGCAGGAACACTTGAACTAGTTCTAGGCTGTGTGGCAAGGACCCAGACCACGTGGACTTTCTAAGTTTTGTTGTTCTTCTCTTTATTATATATTGAGTATCTACTTGAAGCTCTTAGAGAAATCACATTCAAGTTCGCAAGACAGACCTAAAGATGACTTTTTGGTAAGAGTCAGAGGTGGAGTAGCAAGGTGGGTGGTTGGGAAGGACGCTGCAGAAACAGTTGTGTAGATGGTATGAGAGAAGGAAGGCAGAAGGAATATCATATGTGACCTGCAGTCTGGTGGCATGAAGGTTGAAGACCTTAACATGGTCCTCGAGACTCTGGGTGGTCTGGTCCCTGTTCCCTTCTGTAAGGTTTCATTTTGCTGAACTCCCAGACCTCTACCATCCTGGCATCCTTCACACCTATCTCCTGCTATGGCAGCCTTACCACCTGCTCCAGCCTACCTTCACCACATTATTTCTAATGATCTTCAGATTTCAGCCCAGTCTGCGCTTTCTGGAGTAGCTTCCCGAACCCCTCTTGTGAGGTTAAAATTCCCTCTGCTCTCACAATGTACTTTTCCTTATAAATAAGGTTATCAGAGAAATATAGGATGCTCAGTTAAATTTGAATTCAGATTCACAAAACATTTTTTAATATGTCTCAAATATTACATGGAATATACTTATTTTTAAAAATTATGTGTTATGTATATGACATTGTTTAATTTATCTGGGCATCCTATATTTTTATTTGCTAAATCTGGCAACTCTGTTTATCAAGCTCATTAATTTTACCATTTTCTTTGTTTAAAAAATGAAATTCTTTCATTATTGCCTATTTCTCCTGACTAAATTATAAACTTCAGGAAGCCAGGGTCAGGATTTGGGATAGGTTGTTGTTTTGTTTTGCTGTTTTGTCCCTCCAGTCTAAAATACTATCTAGGCCATAGTAGCAGCCCAATACATATTA